ATATTCACATAGCCTCAGCAACTGGGGTTTGTGATTAGATGCAGTAAGTAAGGAACTGATGGCCAATACAGCACTTGGAAAGTGTTCTGGGAAGCATTATGCCCTGTTAGTCAGAAGCTTCCTAGAAGTGCTCTTATTGATCTACAATGGAGGACGGATTATCATGGTGCTGATTTAGAGAAAGGTTACAGTAGGCTTTCCGGGTCATGCCCTGTTTACCTTGAGGGAGCACTTTCTATCACCGTATACCTCTTATACCAGAGGTGGCTTCCTTTCATCCCTGAACAAGAACCCTTCAGAAACTTAGAGGCTCTAAGCTCTCTTGTGATAGCTCCTCATCAATGCTGTGGGCCATGCCCAGCCTGGGCAGGGGTAACTGCCAAGATTAGCAGCCTCTAGCAAAACCAGGCTCTGAGTCCTATTACTGTGATGGTGGTACCAAAGGCAGAGGCTATGCATCTGAGAGAAGACTAGCCTTGACCTTCATATCACGCAGAGAGCCTTAGAGGGGGGCTGACCAGTACTTGGGACTTGTAGAAGCATTTTGCCTCTGGTTATAACTGGGGAGTACAAGATGCTCTTCATTCACCCCCAAGCACACCTGAGCATGTCTACCTCTGTTGAACTCAAATAACTTATTTGTTTATTCTATCAGCAAATATTACTGGATAATATCAACAGGTATTATGCCGGTTAATTTTATATGCCAACATGTCTGGCCGTGGAGGGCTCAGATATCTGGTCTAAGCATAGTCTGGGCATGTCTATGGGGGCGTTTGAGGATGAGGCTTCTATCTGAACAGATAGACTGATAGACTGAGAGAAGATGATGTTCTCCTGATATGGGTGGGTGGGAATTCTCTAGTCAGTGGAGAATCCACACAGAATAGAAGGCTGCCAGTGGGAACACTGATGTCTTGCCTTCACTCTTTGATTTGGACTGCACCTTATACCATTGGTTCTCCTGGGTCTGCTTGATGTCTCAGCCTTCACAGTCTGTGAGCCAGTTTCCTTGCAATAAATCTCTGTCTCCTTCTAACACACACACACACACACACACACACACACACACACACACACACAGCGGGGGGTACTTACTTGTTGTGTTAGTTTTTACATCATTATGATAAATATCTTATGTAACTTAGAGAAGGAAGGGAGCTTTATTTGGACTCTGTTTCAAAAGCTTTACTTCATCACACTGAGGAGGGTGTGGTGGAACAAAACATCTCACACAAGGGTGGCCTGAAAGCAGTGAGAGACACCATGGTTAAGCATAACCTTTAAAGGGGCCTGCTCCAAGTTACCTGTTTCCTACAGCACCAGTCAGACCTCTGCTATGGCTTCCCCAAACAGCATCATTGGTAGGTACTGAGTGTTGGGAGGCTTCTGGCATTTAAATCATCACACTAGCTGAACATCTCTAATCTGAAAAATCTAGTATCTGAGACTTTTAACTATTGTGTTACTGATCACACAGATGAGATTAGCAATACTTGATTTGCATACATGTGTGCATTGTTTCTTTTGAATGACTCTGACTAGAACAGATAACATGGTGATGAGAAACACAGGGTCCCTGCTCTCACTGATCACCATCTTTCTTTCCTTCTGCGTGGAAGAGATAAACAAGGGAACAAGGTGAGTATCAAGTAATGATGAGTCGTCAGCAGAGAACTGAAGCAAGAGAGTTCAAAACTAAGTGGCTCCCGAGTCCTTTTGATTGGGTGGTCAGGAAAAGTCCTTCTGAAAATGTGACATTTGAACTGAAACCTGAGTGATAGAGAACAGCCCCAGAGAAGATGGGGGGGGGAGGATGGCAGGGGGAAGCATTTTCCCAGAGTGAGAAGAGTAAGTGCAAAGGCCTCTGGGAAGGACCAGTTGCACAAGGGGTAAAGGGTGGGAAATGAGGTCAGAGATCTTTCAGAGCCTGTGCAAAGCAGGGTTGTGTGAACTGCAAGCCAGAGAGACTCTGAATTTTATTATAATGACAATGAAAGGCCTTTGACAGCCAGGATTCCTGGTAGTCATAGGATCTGACTTGAATTTTTTTCATGGTTTTAAAATGAATTATTCCTTGGAAATTTAATACATGTATATAATACATTCTGGCAGTACCCCTTCCTCCACCGTCTCTTATCCCTATCTTTCCATTCCTCCTACAAAGTCCCAGCCCTATCTTGTAAGTAGACTTTTCTTTTCTAACTACCAGTTCCCAAATAACCAATACAGAGACTTAATATTAATTATAAATGCTCAGCTGATAGCTCAGGCTTATTACTAACCAGCTCTTATATCTTAAATTACCCATTTCTATTAATGTATGTGCTGCTGCATGGCTTGTGGCTTACCTGCCTGCCAGCATGTTTTGCTCCCTCTGCATCTCCTGGCAACTCTTCTGACTCCACCCTTCTTCCTAGAGTCCTTAGTCTGGGTTTCTTGCCTAACTTTATCCTGTCCAGCTATTGGCCAGTCAGCTTCTTCATTAAACCAATCACAGCGTAATTTGCACAGTTTATACAAGGATTAATTATTCCACAGCACTACCTTCATGTCTGTCTTTATTTTGTTTCTGGTTTTGCTTTGCGACCCACTGGATTTATCCAGGGTGTGATGCTGTCCACTAGAGTATGAGTGATTCACCAGTAGCTACATCATTTGAAGGCAATGATATCTTCTCCTCCTGACTTGAATATTAAAAAAAAAATCACTGGAGCTGTTTCATATAGGACATTCAAAAGGAGGTGGGTTCCATTATCCACCATTTTCTACTCCTTCCAAAATATCCCACTAAAATGATTATAAAAAGTTAAGTAAAAGGATAAATCTCTTATGCACAATAAGAATTTACATGGCAACCACATTAGTTTGGAAGTTGAACAAATGGGTGAGATTGAACTTGTCATTTGTGAGAAAGTATTTGCCTTGTCAGGCAAAGATGGCCACATGTGAACTTTGGGGACATATATTAAATACAAAGCATAACTGTCTGTTTGTCTGTCCATCCATATATCTACTGGTTACCACAGAGGAAGTAAAATCCAGAAGTTAGTTTACCTCCAACTGTCAACAACCAAGCTCCTGGTCACCCTCTGTTGCCTGTAGAGGAACAAGTGTAGGCAAGGGGAGGAGAACAGACAATAGACACCATGGGACATCTTCCTTTAGGACTCTAGGTGTGGCCTGAGGCTAACTATGACAGACATGATATCAAGAATTCTTGGCTCCCACTGTCATGGGAAAATATGAGAATGGAAGGGAATTCTTCTAGCTATTCTTCATGGGTGCTCTCAAAGGTCCAAAGAGAAGAGAGAAGCAGAACTGGCCACCATCCCAGTGTGAGATGAGATGCCCAAGGAGACATCTATTTCAGATGCCTGCTTCCAGAGGCTCCATCTCACTGTTCTTGGTATAGGTAGAATGTTGGTACTGGTCATTTTATTCTTGTTAAATCCAGAATCTTCATGTAGCTACTTCCACCTAAGTACATTTGAAAATGAACTCATTCCCAGAGTAATTTGGCTTATATTTCCCAGATTTCATGTCTTTCATGACACAAGGGAGATCTTACTCATTTCCCCCAAATTCTCTGTTTCCTAACCCCATCCTGTTATTCATTGTTTATGATGTTTTCTGTAAAACTTTCTGTAACAATGTAATCTTTCCCCCCCGTGCGTAATATTGAAAAATAATTTAGGAAATTACAAGTAAGAAAAAAATAAAGCTCCCCATCATTCCATTGCCTAAAAATAGTCATTGCCCTGAGTGGGTGGCATCCATGTTGTACTCATGGGGACCACTGGAGGGAACAGGTAACATGTCCATCTACATTTGATCTCAAGTGCTAGGGATTTGACAGGGCCCATACTTGATGATAACTTGATAGGGCTTCAGTTGGGTGTCTAGTATTTATGTCAAATGTGTATTTAAAAGTGTAAAAACAATTTTTATACTAGCATAGAGAGGAGAGATAGCTTTGAAAATCCACACGTGAACTCCTCCTTCATACCCTATTATGTCCTTGTAATCCTGTGGCCTCCAAACTTACCCCAGCCCCAGCCCAAGGGTAGCATTCATCTTCATACCTCCTGTAGCATGAAGTGACTATTCTTGTTTCCATATTCATGCCTCCAACCTTGTTTCTGGAATGTTCTTCCCTCCTGCAAATATGCTGATCTATGCCCCATCATTCTTTTGTTTTCCCATCAGGCCTCATCTTCCAACTAGAAGTTGATTTCATTTACTTCTCGGTGCTTCACAGAGTTTAGCATTTCCTTGTGGCCAGCATGAAATCACAGGGCATCATAGCAACTGGGCCAGCCTTACATCTTAGCAGAGGGCTGGGCATAGGCCACATATTTCATAAAAAGAAAAGTGCATGTTATGCTGTTTATTCAGAACTATACACAAGCAGCTGGGCTCCTGGGTGCTGCTAAAACCTCGGAAGGACAGGGGCTATAGTTTCTAGACTTTGGGGCAGTGTTTTTATGTTACCATTTTAGAGCTCAGAAGTATGAAACATAAAGCTGTCTTATTTGGAGTCTGTGGGTTTTTCACAGTTTAATTCATACCTGGGGTGAGGACAGGTTACCATCATGGTTATGAATTGAGTTTGAAATGTTTCCCACAGCCTCATGTGTTTCAACACTTGATCCTCCAGCTGGTGGTGCTGTTTTGGGAGGCTGTGGGACCCTGGAGGTAAGACCTAGCCAGAAGAAAGGGATTTCTAGGAGATTTTAGAAGGTAATAGTTATGCCCTGATCTCTGTACATTCCCTGGTCTGTAAGCTCCATGGCTGGCCCTGCCGCCCTGCTTTTCCTACTGTAAAACCCCGAACCCAAAGAAAGCCCCCTTCTCTTAAGTTGCTTCTTGTTATGTATTTGGTTGCAGAGATGAGAAAAGTAATTAGTGTTCCTTCTAAGATCTTCATGCACCTAGTAAGACTAGACAGCTGTGGTATAAATGTGGAAAAGGTTAAATAATGCAATTCAACCCAAGAATAGCACAGAAGAAATGTTTTATTATGTTCTTACAAAACAACAGCTTCTATGAGAAGACATTTAATTAATTAATTAACTCTATGTGTTTTCCACATCATGTATCTTGATTCCATTCATTCCCCATCCCTTTGCATCTACTCTCCTCCTCTGAAGTCCCCCCTCCCACAAATAAATCAAAATTGAAGAGAAAAAAGGAAGAAAATAAAATTTTAAAAAAGGAAGGGATTTAAAAATCTCACCATGCAAGCTGCAGGGCAACCCAACAAGTCACTCCGCATACTTCTTTGTACATACATCTCTACTTGCAAGTGTTCAGTGCAGAGTGTCATTGGTCTGGTTCCAGGTTCCTGTTGTCCACTACACGTTCAACCCTGGGCCCCCACCAGGACTCTCCCTGGATATGCCTCTACTGCTCCGTGTTGTGGAGATCCTGCAGCTTTGGGACTGCAGGTCAGGTCCCCTCATGTGCTCCAGCAGATCACAGATGGGGTGGATGTTGGGGGATGCCAAGTCATAACCCTGGGTCTGAACTTGGCAGCTCCGAAAGGTTGGTCAGCCAGATGGGAAATGGGGACAGCCTTCCCATGGTTACAAGTTAGGGGCTGCCTTTCCTGCACCTGTGTTAACAGTGTTGACTGTATTGTGCTGCCCTGGTGAGGGGCAGATCCTGCTCTTCCAAGTGTTACAGCTGGTGGGGGGTCAGGAACAGCTCACTCTAGCAGTGGCCTTTGTCTGGTGCTGCAAGGTATCGGGTGGGCCTGCATTTTCTCTTTGGAGCCTGGGTTGGGCAGCCTTAGGGCTGTATGTGAGTCTTTCTGTATCACTCAGGTTACCATGATGCAGGCTGATCCATGCTTCCTCATCACAAGGAGATCATTATAGTGCCCAACTGCCTGGAGCCATGGTGCCAGCAGGCTCCTGGTTGGTGTGTTTGGCTGTGGAGAACAGACATTTTAAGACTTAGCACTTTAGTGTTTATCTCAAGGGATTAAGATACTCCCACCAAACTACCACATTGGCTGCCTGATAACATTGCTGTCACAGAAATTGAGAGTTGACCATCAGAGAGAAAGCTCACAACACATTTTTAGTTTCTTCTTTATTAGACAGTTTGCAAATACCCCACCCCCCCATTGGTATTTAAACCTAACAGCAACACAATGAAATGTGCTAGCGGGGACTGAGACTGCTCTCCTGAGTGTTTCCAATTAGACTCCATGGATAGCATCTCTCACAGGCACCATCCTAGAAGCTCATCTACTTCTTGGCAGTGGTTTGAATTTACTGGTTCTAATATGATGATTACTTGCAGTGTTCTTTCTTTTTCCATAATTCTTAAAACATTTTTACCCCACAAAAATAGGCAGGTTGTCCCCATTGCCCAGATCTCACAGTGGCAACCTGGGAAGCTCATTGGTGTCTTGCAGCAATAGGTGGATGTGGGAAAGGGTGGCCACTACCTCAGCGGCCATCGGGGGTGCTAGGAACTGCTGGGCACTGCTGATCCCTGGGGTGGAGCTGGGAGATGTGTGATGAAGCTAACAGTTCCTGACCAATGAGCACCAGGGGAAATTACCAGAGTAAATGTAACCGATTCTGTCAGGGGGGCTTCCTGGCTCTCCTTGTCCGTTTAAATCAGGTAATAAGCTAGCTATATCTGCAGAAATGAGCCAATGTGTAACTTATTATTCTGATGTGACATGTCTGGCTGCTGAAGAAACTTCTCAAAGACCCTGTGCCAGAGGGATGGAGCTAGATGGAGCTGGAGCCCATACTGCCTTGCATGCTTTCTCTAAGACAGAAACCTCTCCTGTCAGCCTCTATCAGGGCCTCAGTCTGAAGGGTTCAAGGCAAAGCCTGGTCCTGGTGGTGGGGAGGTGTGCTGGGGTGAGCAGGGGAAAGGAGATGCAACAGTGTTTATGCCTTGAAGGCCTCAACTGGTAGAGGAGAAAGGACAGGCCTACCCAGTTCTCATACCAAGCAGAATAGAGAGCTGAGATGGCTGAGTGGTAAAACTCTCCATTCTCTCTTGTAATTCTCTTAAGACATTTTAAAGTTGCTTTGCTTAAGCGATACAATATCTAACCCTGATGTAAGAATTGCTGTTGAGACCCTGCTGGGTGACCTAAGGTGCCCTTGGTGTTCTCTGTCCACCTCGATTAGGCATTCGTTCACTTCCCTCCTTCCACCTAGGCCTGTATGCATGCAAGTATGCAAACTATCTGCCCATTGCCAGGGGGCTTGTGGACATGGACCTTGATCTGAGTAAATTTCCACTGTGGCTGCTGTTTGAAAATAAATGGCATTCTCCTTGCAAGAATGACCCACTGTCTTGTCTTTATTTAACCCTCAGATTCCCTCACCGGAAACCATGAGATGCTGTAACACTGGCCGTTACTACAAATTGCACTCATCAAGCTCCTTTGTTTGTTCATTTGCATATAACATTTTATAAGTAGAAACAACTTTGTTATGATAAATCTTTCCGCCAAAAGCCACCTGAGCCCTATCGCCATGTGGGCGGTCTCTGCCAGTCACCCGAGTTCTGCCCGCCACGTGGATGGACAAAATAATACAGAGACATGTTAGGTACAATGCTGCTTGGCCAATGACTAGGATTCTCATCTGTTAGCTCAGTCTTAATTATCATACATCTATATATTTTATAAGACTTATCTTATTGGATACCTTATTGGTGTCCCTCCTTGCTGGTGGCTCACATCCTGCCGCTGGAGGAGGAAGGGGAAAAGAAGGAACTTCCTGTTTCTCCTTGCTCAGATGAGTCTCCTTGCTATGTCACTTCCGGCCTGGATCAACACTTCTCTACTACATTTCCCAGAATCCTCTTTGATTCCTAGTCCTGTCTGTTTCATTGGCCAAACAGAACTTTATTAAACAATCAATAAGATAAACATACAGAGAAATACTTCCCCCCATCACAACTTGACTCTGGTGAAAACTGCACAGAGGAATCTTTTAAAGGAGCATTGAGGGCTGCTGTAGAATCCAAATCTTAGCTGGAAGACTGAGAGCCTCTATGCAAACATGGCTTTGTGCATCTTTCCCCAAAGGAATTCCATTAGTGTGACCTGAACTCAAACTCTCTGTGCCTAGTTTCCTTATCTATTGTTTAGGGGTAATAGCTATAATGGCACACAGCACATGGCTTGGTTGTGAAGATGTGTACAAGTTGATGTTTATACTTGCTTACAATAGTCTCTGGCACACAGTATGCTCTGTAGTTACTGCATCATCATCATCACCAGGGCCAATGTTAAGGTAAGTGTCTCCTTGGGATACATCATTTGTAAGTGGTATGGAAATGTGATGGTTAGTATTTCAACTTGACAGAATATGGGAGATTAGTTTCTGGGTACATCTGTGGGGCATTATCTTGGTTGTATTAATTGTCCACTGATGGTGGCACCACTCTCCTGGCTGGGATCCTGAACAGTATAAATGGGGAAAGAAATCTTAGGCAGCAGCAGGCATCCATTGTTGTTTCTGGCTATTTACATGATGTGTACAGCTGCTTCTGTTCCCTGATGCCTTGACTTCACTCTCCCGATGGGCTGCACCAGGAACTGTGAGCTGCAATAAATTCCTTCTTTCTTAAGTTGCTTTTGTAAGGGTGTTTCATCATAGTGACAGGACAAAAACTAAGACAGAAATGATTGCTAGGTACAGTTGTGACCTGTGGGGGAGCGGTACCCCTGTTCTATAAAGGAGGCAGCCCTGAAGGAGGTTGCTACTGCAGTCTCTGTTCCCACTATTCAGATGAGACAAGGAAGGATCCATTATGCCAGGTTACCTGCTACGCTCAAGGTCACATTGCATCATCAGTGAAATGGAGAGCATAGAATGAAATGTAAATTTTGGTGTCTTTTAAAGCCCAAGCCTATAACCATCTGCTGAGCTCCCCGGTGTCCTTCTGAGCTATTTTAAATAGGTATTTTCAAACCAAACCCATGAAGTGGCAGCTTCCTCTCACTGGAAGGAACTATAAATGATAAATGATAGCTACAAGACAATGAGATGCTAAAATGCCTACTTCACAGTAAGCTGAAGAGAGAAAACCTGAAGTCCTCTTTCCTACTTTCAATTAGGTTACACAGGCCATTAAGCCAAGTAATAGGAGCTTTTTGGAGTTTTTGGACAGAGTGTACAGTAGCCATATCTTATTGTTATGCAAACAAAACCGGACATTCAAGGTTAAAGGCCCAGAGCCCAACTAAAAACTAACCTCATCTTCAACACTAGCCATGTAGGAGATGATGGAAAAAGCTTTTAGACATTTGTCTTGGCTTTATTTTTATCACATAATTATCTTGCGTATGCTATTTGTAATGGAATTATCTAATTGATTTCTTAAAAGAAACATTGTCAGTAGTAAGGTTGTCTTGGCTGTGGAAGATGTGCTAATGATGGGCTATTTTAATGATGAAAATAATTATCGTGGTGTAACTTTGTCCTTTTATTTTAATTATGTGAATGCAGCCCATTCAGCCTGATGATGTGGAGTTGAATAGATTTCAGGAGGCTGTGTGCAAAATCCTGAAAGCTCTGCAGGTCCACTGATTCTTTTCTAATTCTCTACATGGCCAAGGAGTGTTCCTGAGCAGGAAATGGCAACAGCAGTTCACAGATTGCTTACAGATTTTCCCTTCTCTGAATATTGTTCCTTTCATGATAGGCAAGACACTCCTCAGAGAGGACCTTCCCAATCTTGCTCATTATTTTTGCCCCAGTGCCTGTTAGAAATTCTATGCTTAGCCACTTTCTCTGGGTGAATTGGATTCCAGGAACCTTGGCTTTCATGGCCTCTATAATCACCAGCATATGGATAACAAGCTGCATTGGCCAGTGTGGTTTTCAATGAGGCAGGATGGAAAAGAAATGTGAAGGAAAAGAAGCCCTTTACCCAGGAGTCTGCTTAGAGTCTCTCACTAGCAGAGAATCAAGTGTGCAGGACAATTACCTCCTGCTTATGACTTTTCACTCTTTGCAGTCACAAACTTTGAGCCTTCCTGGGGACTTCACTGGAATCCTATTCACAAGGAAAGTTTATGTAACAACTTGCTTGTGCAATTCTAGTGTCTCTTGATTTTATACTATTAGATTATAATTTTATGTTAATCTCACTTACCCGGAGGGGGTGGGGGAAGACTCTTAACAAACTTTTGAGGTATGTGCTGGCTAGTTTTATGTCAACTTGACGCAGATAGAATCATTTCAAAAGAGGGAGCCTCAGCTGAAAAAAAATGCCCCTACCAGATTGACCTGTGGTGCATTTTCTTAATTGATGAGTGAAGACAGAGGACCAGCTCTCTGATGGTGGTTTCACCCCTGAGTCAGTGGTCTTCAGTGTTACAAAAAAGTAGACTAGGCAAGACATGAGGAGCCAGCCAGTAAACAGCATCCTCTATGGCCTCTGCATCAGTTCCTGTCCCCAGGTTCCTGCTCTGATTTATTAGGATGATAAGCAGTAAGATGAAATAAATCCCTTTTTCTACAACAAAAAGAAGTCATACCCAAAAATTAGTACATGGCAAGAAATACCAAATTATTAAACTCAGGCTAAAGTCAATGAAATAGAAACAAAACAATACAAAAAAAATCAATGAAACAAGAGTTGGTTCTTTGAGAAAATCAATAAGGTTGACAAATCCTTAGCCAAATTAAGTGAAGGCAGAGAGAAAGAAGATCCAAATGAACAAAATTAGAGATGAAATGGGGTGGGGACATAACAACAGCCACTAAGAAAATCCAAAAATCAAAGGACATACTCTAAAAACAATACTCTACCAAATTGAAAAGTCTAAAAGAAATGGACAATTTTCTTGGTACAAACCAATTGCCGATGTTAAATCAAGATAAACAATTTAAACAGACCTATTACTTCTAGTGAAATAGAAGCAGTCATTAAAAATCTCCCAAAGAACAATAACATAAAAAAAAGCCTAGGACCAGATAGTTTTAGAGCAGAATTTTATCAGACGTTCAAAGAAGAGTTAATGTCAGCACTCCTCAAATTATTCTATAAACTATAAACAGATGGAGCATTGCCAATATGTTTTACTAGGACATACTTACCTTAACATCCAAACTACATAAAGACACAATGAAGACAGAAAATCACAGACCAATTTTCTATATGGACATGGATGCAAAAATTCTCAATAAAACACTCACAAACTGAATCCAAGAACACATAGAAAAGATCACCCACTATGATCAAGCAGGCATCATCTCAGAAAGGCAGGGATGGTTTGATATTCATAAAATGATAAATGCAACCCACCACATAAACAAACTGAAAGACAAAAACCACATGATTATCTCATTAGATGCAGAAAAAGCCATTGACAAAATCTAACACTCCTTCATGATAAAGTCCTGGATAGAGTAAGGATACAAGGAATATATCTCAACATAATAAAGGAAGTTTACAGAAAGCCCATAGCCAGCATCAACTTGAATGCAGAGAAACTCAAAGCAATTTCACTAAAATCAGTAACAAGACATGGTTGTCCACACTCTCCGTATCTATTCAGTATAGTACATGGAGTCTTAACCACAGCAGGAAGACAATTGAAGGAGAACAAAGGGATACGAATTGGAAAGGAAGACATCAAAATATCTATATTTGCAGATGATATGTTAGTATGCATAAGTGACTCTGAGGATTCTACCTGGAAACTGCTAAGCTGATAATCACTTTTAGTATTGTAACCGGATACAAAATTAACTCACAAAACCCAGTAGCTCTCCTACATACAAATGACAAGAAGAACTGAGAGGGAAATCAGAGGAAACAATACTGTTTACAATAGCCTCAAATAATGCAAAATATGCTGGGGTAACTTTGACCAAGCAAATGAAAGACTTACATGATAAAACTTTTAAGACATGAAGAAGATATAAGATAATGGAAAGGTCTCCCATGTTCATGGATCAGTAGGATTAACATAGTTAAAAAAAAATACTATCTTACTAAAAGCTATTTACAGATTCAATATAATCTCCACCAAAATTCCAAAACAATTCTTCAGAGAAATTGAATGGACAATTTTTACCTTCAGAGAGAAACACACACACACACACACACCTCAAGGTAGCTAAAACAGTACAGAATAATAATAATAATAATAATAATAATAATAATAATAATAATAACTGCTGGTGATATCACCATCCTGATTTCAAGTTGTACTACAGAGCTAGAATAATAAAAACAATATGGTATTGGCACAAAACAGACAAGTTGATCAATAGAATGGAATCAAAGACCCAAGCATAAATCCACACACCATAGTCACCCGATTTTTGATAAAGAATCTAGAAACACATGCCGTAAAAAAAGCATCTTCCACAAATGGTACTGGTCAAACTGGATGGCTGCATGTAGAAGAATCCAAATAGCTCCATACTTAATATCCTGCAGAAATCTCAACTCCAAAGGCATCAAAGACCTCAACATAAAAGCAGATACACTGTGAATCTGATAGAAGAGAAGGTGGGGAATAGCCTTGAACTCATTGGCATAGGAAAAGGCTTTCTGAACAGAACACTGTTAGCACAGGAACCAAGATCAACAATTAATGAATGGGATCTCGTAAAACTGAAAAGCCTCTGCATGGCTAATGACGCTGTCATTTGGACAAAGTGGCAGCCTACAGACTGGGACAATATTTTTTACCAACTCTACATTTGGTAGAGGGCTAATATGCAAAATACATAAAGAACTAAAAAAACCCAGATATCAAGGAAACAAAAAAACCAATTAAAAATGAAGTATATATTTAAACAGAATTCTTAAAAAAAAAAAAAGAATCTCAAATGGCCCCAAAACACTGAAAAAATATTCATCATCCTTAGTCATCAGGGAAATGAAAATCAAAACTACTCTGAGATTTCAACTTATACCTGTCAGAATGTCTAGGATCAATAAAACTGGTGACAGCTCATGCTGGCAAAGATGGGGGGTAAGGGGAACACTCATCCATCGCTGGTGGGAGTGTAAACTTTGGCAGACACTATGGAAATCGGGAAGATCGGAATCAATCTACCTCAAGATCCAGCTATATCATTCTTAGTCACTTGCTCAGTCATGTACCTTGCTGCCCAATTCATAATACTCAGACACTGCAAATAGCCAAGATGTCCCTTAACAAAAGAATGGATAAAGAAAACGTGGTAGATTTACACAAAGAAGTACAACTCAGTCACTAAAAAAATGAAATAATGAAATACACAGGAAAATGGATGGAACTAGAAAA